AGGGCGGAGGGCGGAGGGCGGAGGGCGGAGGGCGGAGGGCGGAGGGCGGAGGGCGGAGGGCGGAGGGCGGAGGGCGGAGGGCGGAGCGCGGAGCGCAGAGTGCAGAGTGAAAAGAGAAGAGAAGAAACTAAATTGCAAAGACCACGTCATTAAGTTAGAGCGACAGGCTAAAGATTATCGCACGCGTTCGTTAACTGCATAGTCAATTAAATATAGGTCGTTTTAGCCTTAGATGGGCTCGACACTAGCTCACATTTCGAATAGCGTAGACGGTATTTTCGAGTTATAGGGACTTGAAACTTAATTGCAAAGACCATGTCCTTAAAGTGCCCTTGAAGTAAAAAATAGTTTCTGCTTATTTGAAAGGCTTTTCAAAGTAAAGAAGAACGGCGTTTCCCTTTTTGGAATATCTTTCTTCGTTTTAGAGATGTTTATGTTTTTGTATCATGCAAATGAGGAAAGTGATGATGTCATAGGTGGTTCCAATAAAGCAGTACAACACTTAATGAAGAATATCTCTAGAAATATTAAAGCAGTGTTCTTTAAACTTGGCACCAGAAATGTACATCACAAAAGAACGAAAATGACACTCGTCGTGCCGTTGCCATGACAACAGTTATGCCACTAGTCCTTTCTTTGATAAAGACTAAAATTCACAGATTTTATCTTAAACAAGGATTATCCACTCCCAACAATCTAATGGGGAGAGTTAAGACAGTATGGAAACCATGTGTGTTCCGAGCAAGACCCTGTGTCCCACTTTAAAAGGTTGCAAAAGGGGATATTTGGTTTTTCACTGAAAGAGACTGAAACCAAGAATGTTGCCATGGGAACAACAAAGTAGGCGTCATTCTGTATCTTTTGTGATGTACATTTCTGGTGCCAAATTTGAAGAACACTGCTCCAATATTTCTGGAGATATTTTTGATTCAGTATTTTACTGTTTAAGTGGAACTATTAATGACGTCATCACTTTCCTCATTTGCATAACACAAAAACGTGAATATCTCTACATGACAAAAAATATTCCAAAAAAGAAAATGCCATTCTTCTTTACTTTGAAAAGCCTTTCAAATAACCAGCAATTACTTTTTTACTTCATAAGCACTTTAAGTTAAATCGACAGGCTCAAGGATATCGCGCGCGCTGGTTATGTGTATAGTCAATAAAGTATTGGTCGTTTTGGACTCGGAGGGACTGACACTAGCGGACAATGAGCTGCGCAGACTTTGATTTTGACTCACATAGGCTTGATTCCGAATAGCGTAGATGATGTTTTCGAGTTTAAGGGACTTTAAAAACACTTTTAAAAAGTCCAGAGAAGCACTTGGGTCGGCAATGTTCATTCGTGTTCAATTGGTTGCGTCACAGCAGGCCTGAAATAACCTCACGCTTTCTGGGACCCCTGATTACGTCCTCCAAATGAATGAGCTGATGTAGATAAGCTCAGCATTATTCCAAAATGCAAACAAAGAAAATCAGGAGATTTCTGCTCTTCAATTCAGGTTTTGTTTAAGACTGAGACTCACCCAGAAAAAAGAGGGCGTGGTGAGGGGAGTTTGGTGTTACAAAGTATGTGAAGTGTGTCTTCCGGGTATCACCTATTTGTTTAACTTGTTGAATGACCTGCTAACGAACTCAGTGGAAATATGATTTACCTTAAGGTTTTATAAGACTTGAAATTGCGTTTCATTACAATACAATGCCTAGCTTAACTATGCATTACGTACATACGCTACTCATGTTTATTACGCTACGAACATTATATAATGAATTTTGTTTTGATTGTTTTACAACTGAAGATTGAAAAGATGCTTTGCTATCTACAAGTATGAAGTCGGAACAAATCATTCATTGTGTCCAGTCTGGTACAATTATCAATAGTGAAATATGTTCTAAACATGTGTACCGCCGTAAATCAGACGCCAAGAATATCACAAGCAGGAATGTTGCGTAATACAAACGTATAACCGGCATATTTTCGTTGAGAAAGACTCACCATACCTTAAGTGAAAGAAAAATGTCTGTCATGCATTTTTCTATTACTATATCCGCGATCGAAGCTGAAGTTGGCCTGGACCCATAGCCCCTTCTGGGACATAGGTGTGGTCAGTTTTACCTCAATGGAATATGGCTTCGCATCTGTAAGCGCGTCTTTTGGAGGGGTTGCTAAGGAGTGGAATGCCACAGGGCAATTATTAACTTTTTAAACTATTAAAATGACGCATTATCACCATCATTCAGAGGCGGAAATGCAGTGAGTCTTAAACCCATTTTTCACGTCAAACCCTTGACTCGGTAACGTTGTTGAACATATCATTTCCCAGCTCTAACTCGTCTTCCTTCTAAGGGACGAACTTCAATTTTTGGTCACTTACATTTATTGCTGCGATACTAATGCTTATATTGATTGATTTGAAGTTTGTATCTCTCAAGACATCCTACCAAAGTCATCTGTTTTTGGCCTTCTAGCAAACCAGGAACTTTGGCAACGTAGGCGACCGATTTTGAGACATTAATAACGTTAAATTGTCACTAATAATCAGTTTTGAAATATCCAGCTTACTTCCCGTTTCATTAGTTAGATTAACAAAGGACTGCGTTAACGTTTGGCGAAATATTGTGAAGTTTGATTGATTCAAGTTGGTACAGTCGTCTTTTCAAAGTCACGATGTAAAAAACCGGCTTTTTCCGATTCGTGATATATTTTAGGTGCCATGAAAAGTACGGGCTAACGGCAGATTTTCAGTTTCTGGAACGCAATATCTCCAGTTCTGAAAGGCTCTGGTAATCTTGAGAATCATGTGGCGTATAAGTAGTAAGACAATAGCTACAAGCTTTTAAAAACGCCGTTACCACGACGCAGGGCACTTTCTTAGCCTCTTATTTCCATTTAAATGGCTCAATCTGGCCAGGTTTAATCTGCATTCTGTATTTTGCATGAATGCTGTCCTTTTGAGGAAGTTTTCGCAGCTTGAGCTCTATGGTTTGCACGTTAAGTTGGCACACGTATTGCAAAAAGAGAAAGTTATTACTAAAGCTCCCTGCTTTTCCACTGGAGAGAGAGAGAAGAGAGAAGAGTGAAGAACGAAGATCAAAGAGCGAAAAGCGATCAAGAGCGAAAAGCAAAGGGTAACCGTCAATGAATTAGAATCAATATATAGCTCTTTAAGGCGAATCTGAACACACTTGCACGGAATGCGCATGAGTTCATTAATCGTAGAAATGTGGGAGAACAGGACTCTTATTACAATAATTACTGTGTTGTTACTTTCTTTTCAAGGCTCTAACTCTGCTGTCTCATCCGTTCATCTGCCGCAAGCACCCGGAAATGGAAAGTCAGATCAAGAAACATTTTCTCTTTAGCGTTGAACTTCTTGTTAGATTGGTGAGTGAAATCCTTTACCATTTGAGATCGGAACTGTCTGCTACCTGCAAAACAAGTACCTTTACACTACCTTAATGCATAATGTTGATCCACGCGGTTTTTACGTGGCCCGCAATACATTTATTCTGAGTTAAATCATTCTAATTATTAGGCGTTCTAACGATGTTTAATTTCCTTTGGGTTACCTTTTATGCTGATGATTTAACTACAGTGTATTATCGTATATCGTTCTCTTTTAGGTTCCCTATTCCTTTTTAGATGCATTAAGATGCCTTTTCAGATGTATTATTTTTAGCTAATTTATTTTTTTTGTAACGGAAATCATACTCCTAACTCAACAATAAGCATGTGGCTCATTCATAACAGGTAGCACAAGAAATTGCCATAATTTAATTTACAGTACTAATAACAAATGTCTGCCAATTCCCATATTTTGCAACATGGCAGTAGCAAGCTGCTGTCGTTATTTTTTCCTGTGTAGAGTCTTATAAACAATGAAACTGGCGCTCTTCAAGAGATGGCCGGACTCGCCACTCATCTTCATTATCACGAACCTTCCAACTACGTCTTGGTCAGTTTTCTGCAACGCGGGCTCTTTCATGATCTTTGTCAACCAGGATTAAAAGGTAAGGACAGCTTCAATGCGATCTACCATGCATATTCTCCGTTTTGACTCACAAATTATGGGGAGAATTAATGGGGAGGGGGATATCCCCTACCTTCTCTAATCCCCTCTCGCCATTTCCTTAACTTTTGGCAGTCTTTAGCGTGTTTCCGTTTCTCCATTCTCTCAAATCAGACTTCAAAACGATTGCTATGATGTCGTGCGGCTTTCAAATATATTTATTGTGTTATATTTTCCTTTTCTCTGTTACAGGCAAATTTTCGAAAGACGTCATGAGGAAAATGGTTCTTGTTCTGAGCCACTTGTTTGGTAGAAGATTCCTTCACGCATCTTTCAAGCGAAGACTTCACTTGTGCCCGACGTCAAAAGTAGGGTTTCCTTCATAAGCTATTTTTTCGTTGCTTCTCTTTTCTGCTTTTTGTAGCAGATCGGCGCGTCTCTAACAGGCCATGCACTAGGTTTAGAGTTTAGTTATATAAACCATTCACAAACATGTCAAAGTCATTTTCAAGCGGATGAGAGCATCGAATCAACCAGTTGAGCCCTGGCCTGGCCAAACGGACTGGCAAGTAGTCGCAAAAAGCTGCAAGTTTAGCTTGCATAGAGACTTGCATTGGGTTCCGGGGGGTACTCCCAGAAACGTTGGGTAGGGGTGTGCGGCTCACTTCCCAAAACCCTTACCCTATTTATGACCAAAATCTGCAATTTTTGCTACCCTATTTATGACCTGGTCAAAAATTCGATACCCTATTTATGACCTTTGTAGCTGGCACACTTGCCCTAAACATCAGTTATGAAGGGCTTTTGTTGACCATCTTACTGTTAATGATGAAAAAGTGGCTCCTTCTAAGAAACATACCCAATTCAAGACTAGAGTCCTAAAACCATACCCAATTTGAGACCAAAATTGCCAAAATTGATACCCTATTTATGACCAAAACGACTGGAAAACCTGGGATTACACCCCTCCCCCCAGGGCATTGGGTGCCCAAACGGACTCACAAGTTTCCTCGCAAGTCCAAGCAAGTTGCAAAAAATAAAAAAATAAAAAAAAAACGAACGAACATTTTAAGGCCACGGGCTTAAGCACTCAATTCTGGAATCCTTTAATGGAGGAAAAAGATTAACGCCTTAAAAACGAAATCTGTTGCGATGCAATTATATTGCTGACCCATTTCAAAGATTCGAGAATTATGAAGTACGCCACGCGAAACAATGAATTTGTTACTCTTAGATTTAATACAGTAACAAATGGGAAGTACACTATCAGATATCCACGGCCTAAGTTATGGAATCTTATACCAAGGAATAATAGAAGTTCACCGACATTGTCAGCTTTTAAGAAAAACACTCGCAAACTTAACGTAGTGATGGTTTTATTAGTGCTATTTTAGTCTGATACTTAAGAGTAATACTTTCTTACTGAAACAAAAATAATTCACGGCGTTGTATCATTTAAAATTCTTAGCTTCTTTGTTCCATCTCTGATCGATGTCTTACCCTCGCATCTCACTAACAATTATGATTGCGTAAATGTAGCATTTATGGTTTTATTTTCCCTTTAAGGTAATTTTGGAAGATCTTCCTGATGAATTTGCCGAAGCACTTCAAGCTTATAACCGTCAGGTTACGGATGTCTTCAGCCAGTACCTCAAAACTGTGGCCGCCGAACTTGAAGAGGAACGGGGAGAGGAAAATAAACTCCCTTTATCAGGCATAGGTAAGAAGGATAAGTACGCTGTCAGCTATTTATAGACCAGTTATATGAACGCTTTAGACTGGGTTCCATGGATTATCCCACGAGTCACTTGTATTTTCTCTGTAGAAAATACATAAGCCAAAGATAATCAATACAACGCACGATGGGAACGTTGGGTGTAATGTCCGTCGAGTAAACAATGGCTTTCTCCTGCGTTCTGATTGGCTGTATTTTCCATGGCATTTTATAAAATAACTGAGCTACTGCGCGCGCGCTCATGCATTACAATTGGTCGATACGTGCGCTTAAATGATAGTGTGTAAACACGGTTTACAGTGATCGTTGAGAACGCTACACATGACGCTTTACATTATGTGCTACATTAGCTAACTCTGTTTTCTGTTGCAGAATTTCCAGATCAGGCAAGCTCTACCGACCTTGTCGAAAACGAAACCATCAAAAGCCTTGCACGCTCTTCCATTGTTTACTCTGCTTGTTCGTCATTTACTGCACTATCAGGGAATTCAGACTTACATTTTCATTCCACTGGCCAAAAAGCAGCTGTTCACTTGGAAAAGAAAGCAAGCAGCGTTGGTGGAGGAAGTGAAGAAAGTGAACACAAATCTGAGAGTGACGAAGAAGATGAGAAAGAGCATCGTGAGCCAATTGAACACTTGTTGAAGGTAAAACAAGTGGCAGTCATTTCTTTTTATATCGTGGCTATTTCTGTCCATCTGGTTGGCCGATTTTGCACGCGAATCATATATTACGGGGATTATTATATGGCTAGGACTTGCCTGAGTTACCACACCCGTGCTGTGATATGGCTAATGATAGGGCCGGATTTTCGCGTTATGTTTATAGAGCGTATTCACTCACGTGTCCAGTAGCCATGCAAATTTATTGGAACGAAAGAAAGTGTTTACATAAGAAACGAGTTGAACTGCCACAGGATTGGTTTGGAACACCAACATAGCCGCCGTTTCATTGTTTTTGAACACCAATAGGGCTGCCATGACGTCATGTGCATACGTTCCATGACCATGGGCATTTGTATCAGCGATGCCTGGCTAAAACCGAAGGGGAAAATGTTAAGGCCAACCTATAAACTCCAATCACTAGCTGGAGACGGTACTGCACGATCTATTATCGCATTTTGTTTCGCTCTGTCCGTATCGGATCGATTGACCTCGGATGATTTTCTCCCCGAACAGCTCTCGCGCTAACTGAATGCAACGCTATTCACATGTTTCTGCACTAAACATTCGTTAATTATCTCTATGATGTTTTACACGCTCTAAATATGTCGTAATAGGAAAGGCCCTGTGACCGTTACTGCTATACTTAAATTAACATTTACCTTGTTAACAACAGACATGACTGGCGATAAGACTTGGAAAATAGAAAGACTATTTTTACGCATAACCTTAGAGTATTAAAATCGTAATGTTTAAATGCAACACATCTTGGGTTCAGTGGGAAAACATTAATGAAATATAGTTTCAAATATGGTCGTAAGAGACAAAAAAAATGGCCGTTATTTTCATTTTCAGATTATTCGTCAAGATGTCTACACAGATATGAACGTCGTTCCCATTCTTCCTCTGAAGAAATACAACTCGACCGGACGTGTTCAACATCTGAATGCTTATGCACTGGATTTCTTCAAACACGGATCCCAGAAAGTTATCGAGAAAGAGAATGGGTTAGTAATTAACGCAATTATTTACGGCATTGAATTTCTTCAAGAGAGTGTGAAGCTCATTTTCAGCTATCTCCTCTGGTTGTTCTTATATCCCGAGAGAACAGCTCAACCATTTACTTGATGCTTTCTTTCGTAGAATCAAGGCCGGCGAGGTTTTCTCGTTGCTGAAGGACTTTTATCTCACCATTAAATCAATCAGGTAATACTCTTTTAAAGAAAAGACTACTGATAATCTTCGGAGTAAAGTCTTTACTCTCACTACCCACCAATCCACCCTTGGCTATACTTATATATGGGGATGGATAATATATAGATTTAGCCAAGCCTAAAAGCGTAGCTCCTGGACCGGGTTGTTCAAAGCCTGATTAAGCTAACCCAGGATAAGTGAGAATTTTGATTTGAGTTTTTAAAGTAATCTGAAACTACTCAAAACATAAGCAGTGAAAAATATTTTTGTAAAAGAAAAAAATTATACTTTGGTTAACCTTTAATCCTGGGTTAGCATCAACGGGCTCATTTCTGAACAACCCTGCCCTGATTACTTAAGCAATAGACCACAAGTTTTTATGGTTTATATGCTGAGAAACCACGCGGGATGTTGGAAGAACACGAGAAGAATTCGTAAATCACGAACCGCAGGCGAGTGATTTACGAATTCCTCGAGTGTTCTTCCTCTGCTGGTGAGCTCAAGAAATGCGGGGAGTTTGAAACTGTTTTGGTTTCAAGTTTACAGTGAACTTCAGAGGAAAACCACTCAAAATCCAAAGTTAACACTTTCAAGTTCACCCAGGACCCAAAAGAGAATGCTTTACGCCCTCGAAGCATTCGCGCGTTTGTGCAGAACATTTTACCAAAGACGGCTTCGAACAAAATCTTGTGGTGAGGAATTTGTTGGGACCCTCTTTCAAGCTTTGTCAACTTGTACTTAAGAAAGACGTGGTACCGACGGTTTTTAACTTCACTATGGAAGGTTGCAAGCCGGCAGTTGGGCAAAAAACGAAGAAAAACAAGTGAATAGTGCCCGCCGAACAGCGGGCTAACTCCTCCGCCATTTCCCAAGTAAAATAAGACGTTGGATCCAAAACCTTCACTGACGCAGAAACGCAGCAATTTTGAAAACAACAATGACGTCACAAAGCTGAGTCTCAGTTCCATTCCTTCTGTGAAAGTGCGCGGTCATTTTGGAAACGTTTTCGTGAAGCCATCGGAAATTTTTTTTAAATGTTTTTTTTTTAACATTTCGTCGCTATAAAATGGCTGAAGAAAAGATGTCTAAATTTTGGTTCATTTGACCTTAAACCTAGTTTTTTTGCACGCGATCCCATCAAAAAAGCCGTACTTGGGCAGCGGTTAAATTTAAAAAACACGTGAACTCGTAGCTCAAAACTTGAGCCCGCAATATGTATGGTCAAGTGCTACTGGTCAGCAGATACCTTGTTTTGACAGATGTCAATTGACCATAAAATAGATGTCCAATATCGAAGGTGTATGCTGTAAACCAAGGCGGCATGTCCTAATATAAAAGACCTTGAAAAACTCGCGCACGCGCAGAGCATGTGGCGCACGTACGAGGGTCGTAGGGACAATCACGTGACGACCAAATTTTCTCGGCTGGATGGGTTACCAAATTCTCTAAGATATGGGGTCCCGCTCACGCGCCTTCGGCGCGCACGAGCTCCCCCAAAAATCGCTTAGGAGGGGGAGGGGTAACTCTGTGATATATACTACACTGTATATACCCTGTTATATACTATTCTTACTCGCTTTATGCTACAGAAAATGAAGATAAGCGCCGGTCACTAGACTGGCAAGTGGATTTTACCTTATGCATGGATCGCAGGGCGTTTGGAAAGTCACGAAACATCTTTCGTAGAGCTGCCCTGCGGTAAAAGATAATTGTAATGAATCAGGTAAGACGTCAAAAGTGCCGTCAAATAGATTATATAAAAGTAATTTTCTTACTTTCTTGTTTCGCAGTTGTTCTTTGGAAGAACTGGGACCCAAAACTGACAATGTCGTGCTCGCCTTTAAGCAGTTGGCCCGGGAGTTTGGAGAGAAGTTCAACAAACAGTTTAAAAGAGACATATGAGAACAAATTCAGACAGTTTTTTCTGCATATAACAAGCTGTCTAAATCTTCTATAAAACTTAAATAAACGATTACGTACTGACAGAATTTTTTAAGTGCAAATTCTTTTCCGTCGGTAAATTCTTAGTCAGATTGTTCCTTAAAAATATTTTTTGTCTCTTTTTTAGTTTCTGAAAACACTCAGTTCAGTGAATAGACTGAATCGAAGTTGATCTCATTTTACTAGTCTAACAGCTAAATCTATCTAAATAAAATAAAAGTTAAACATAGTGATAGTTAAAGTTTACCTAAGTTAACTGTTTTGTTTTTACGACATGTTTGAGAATCTATCTTGGCCTGGGCTATAGTCCAACATGAACAGTTAGTGATGAATGTGAGTCTTCACTCATCGTGTTCATGGCCAGCTCGAAAACTTGATTGGCTATATCGCTGATGACCATCCGCCGGATATATATATAATCAGGATCGCGTAGGTTTTGTCTTTGAAGGGAAAAAAAGAGAGACCAATTAACTAACAAGCCTGATATGGTGTTGAAGAGTACCATAGAGGTACGATTGGATACTTACGTATGCCGTGCCTAAATTCTGCCAAATATCTGGCGATACCAGAGCAAGATGATATGTAATGGTACCAAGACTGAGTGGAGTCCAGTTCGATCTTTAATCATACGAGTGATTCACACAATTAGAGAACCGCGTATAGCAACCTGTTAAATCGCGATTGCGAGTACGATTACAGACAGAATTGAACAACACCAAGTCTGTTACCAACGTATCATGAAAAAATCAAAGAAAAAAATTAAGTTTGACCAAACGAAGCCTGACGATGATTTATCAGTTATCTCAACAACCGTTTCTGAAAGGTTTGGGAATATGGAGAGGTCAGTCACAAGGAGGGGCCAAATAAACGGGCTCGCCACGCGAATTTTATTATTGAAAGTTCGTTATTGGACGCTTTGTTATCGGACAACTGAACTGTTCGTGATCCAGTTTTCTGAAAATAGCGCGTGTTGATAACCGATCAATCTCGATTAGACCGATAACGCATGAAATCAAGACATTTGATAAGGTTTACAATTGCTAAAGAATAAAAATTGAATATATTTGGAGAAAATTGTTGTTGGAAATTCTTGATGGAAAAACTCGGTAAATATTTAATTTGCTAAGTTTCGTAGTTGGAATGGTTACCTTTATTTAGGCTTAATGTAATGATCAGGTGAAATGCTAAAATATATCTTTACCCGACCACTTTTCCTGAAATAATTTATTGTTATTGATAGTATGCTTTATTCTTAATGTAAAGATATATTTTCTTAAGTGTAAAAACACAGAAAACTTTATTTCTTTAGTAAAGGTTGCAGGTGGACAATTTTAGCTTATGCTAAATATCTCTTAGTAACACTCTAGATCTAGATCTAATTAAAACGAAAAGGTGTTATTCGTGGAAAACCGTTTAAAAGTCGGTTTGGTTCAAAAGAACTTTGTAACACGTACGTTAGCACCTATAAAACCTCGGTTACTTAAATATTAAAATATGGAAAAGGTGTAACAAGTACGGCTGTCTTTCTTCTTCAATAAGTAAACCTGAGTTGTTGTTTGAGGACGATTGCACAACAATCTTTATTTGCGTTTTTCTATACATTGCTGTAACGTGTATTTTAATTCAATTCTGTAAAGACCATTCTTGCAATTTTTATATTGCTCTCGTTATTTTATTTTGGCCAGACTCTCTTGGAAACATAAAAAGAAAATGTGAAATGAAAAAGATTTCGACTCTGGTATTCGGTCGAAGGAAAATATGGTAATGATTCTCGTGCGCAAGGGCAGTGCTGCTATGCGTGAGCTGCGCAAGTCTTACGCAAACCCAGATGTCAGTTTGATGCTTGATTGAGAAGTATCGACCTGGTCAACATAACAGAGCGAGAACAGAATCTTAGGTTCAGAAGTGTAAAAGCCGTAGAAGGTAACGGTGCACCAGAGGTAATTAAGAGGGAGCTTTTAAAAGAGAAGAACGCGTGTTCGTCCATTTGTAAAAGAGGTTGTGTTCCCCCGACAATCTTTCTTTTACACAATTGGCTACTTGCGAATTTGGTTGACCATGAGTTGGCAAACTTCAGTGACCATAATCAGTATCCATAGGAAAATGACGGTCATTTGCTGCTTACTACATAATAAAAACAAATGGTACAGTGGAACCTCGATATAACGAAGGGCCAAGGGACTGGAAAAATATGTTCGCTACAACGAGGTTTCGTTGTATCGAGGTTCTTTCTCATATATTTTACTATTACTGGGGCAAAGAATATCGTTCGTTATACCGAGGTCTTCGTTAAATAGAGATTCGTTGAATGGAGGTTCCACTGTAACGTACAATTGCTCGTAAAAATTCCTTTTTAAATACTTGAATATATGAACTCTTGTTTTGTTGAGGTGAAGTTTCGGAATATAACACTTTTTCATCCAGCCATTTTCACTACTCGACAAGCTTTTCAAACAAATTAGCCGAGAAAAGTATTTCTCAGAGCGTCTTAGCCTTCGAGCAGGATCTTAGTGGAGAAAGAAAGAAGGAAAGGAAAAAGGGAGGAAGAGCCTGTCTGCAGAAACTTCAAATTGCAAACAATTTTTATCGACTGCAGGTTTGGTTTCATTTGTTTCCTGTTTTGAAATTCGTGATTTCCACTCGCTGTTTAATTTTTTGAGCAGAGTAAGAATCACCAAATAACGTCAATTAGAAAATTAACTAAGTTTTTGAAATATTCATCATTTGTTACCACCCATCCATCCCAGAAACAAAAAGCTTATCCATTTTCTATTTATGATTTTTATGATCTTTGCCAAGTGTTAAATATTTTCAACTGTCAAATACTTTACTGTTCTATAACTCGATAGAAACACGAAGAACATGTTTAGCTGTAGCTGGTATTTATCTACAGACAAGTGGCAAGATTCTAGAGTAAAATAAACCATTTTCGAATACGCGTCACCGTCATCTTTGCCTGAGATGTCCAAGTGGCTGTAATCGCGGCCAAAACAACTCACGCTGACTGGAAAATTGTGAACTTACATAATTTCCGAAAAAGAGGACAACCTCCTGATGTATACAGTGTGTGCATTGTCACGCAATAAAAAATAAAAACAAGAAATTGTGATGTTACAGACGATAAATAAAGAAGACAGTGCTCCAAGTTTAAGGTGTGTGTGTTGCCCCAAAGTTGAGATATTCGTCGAAATGTTCCGCGCAAAATTATAGAGCCTAGTATGGAGCCAAAATGTTGGAGGACTTCCTTAGTCTCTAATATGGCGGCCTGAAAATAGTGTAAACCGGCATCTGGAACTTACTTTGGCTATCTAGTCCACTGATTATCTGAACCGAACCAAAAAACATTCACACAAGCACTTTTCCTAATACTCCTAAAATGGCTAAAAATCACGAGATAAGTGAATATTTTTCGACAAACGCGATCTTAGCTTCATGTCACGCACCGCCATAACTCCGAAATTCAAAATGCGCTGGTTTCCAAACGAAGGACGCTATTGAACCAGAAGGTTGTAAACAGATATAAATTCAGCACCTCTTATGCCTGACGAGGATGAAACCTTTAGGGGCTCTTTAGGTTTGGATTTGAGAATTTGATGACGTCACGTAAACACACTCCATACTCAATTTTTCGAAAAATTATCCTGGAAACTTCGGTTCCATTTGATTTAAATTCTTGATTTTCCGGAATTTGTATAGGTAATCATACGGTTTCGAGTTCAATTTGGAATTAATTTGCACGAGTATGTTTTTCAAAAAGCTGAAATTGCACAAACCGCTTACTTATTAATGATATAAACATGAAAAAATTCGCCAGGGAGAAGTGCCGGAAGATCTTTCTTGAAGTCATTTTTTCTCATTCGAGAAAATTGTCTCATTCGCACAAGATTTTCGTCATCATTTTACGTGATATCATTGGCTTAGAAAATTTCCTTTTACCTTTCAGCCAATCATAAATCCAAAATTACGATGTATAATTCGCACTGGTGTTACACTTTTTGCACTGGTGTTATACTTTTTGCACTTGTGTTACACTTAAACTGCACTACTCTCGGCCAATCAGAATTGAGTAATTTTTTCATGTATATTATTATCGGTTGAATGGTTCAGTTTTCGGAAATTTCCGCACCATTTGTCCCCATTTCCAACATTTTTTGGTCGAACGAAAAGCGGCTAATGTTTAGATACATATCTGATTTCTGTCACAATAAATATCACGCCAAGTATCGAACGCACATTTCGTTTAAATTGTGTTACCTATTTTAGACTATGCATAATTCCACAAGCTAAATAAACTTTATTGGGAATGAAGTTAAAAAAAAAAAAAATGCGAGGCGCTTCCCAGAATTATATTAATATAAAAATATAAGCTATTTACGAGGCATATAATATTAAGAATAGCAATAAAAAGCTATTTACAATAATATTAAAGCTATTAAAACTATAAGAAAAAAAAAATTTATAAATTAGTTTCTATGGCAGGAACAGTCCCTAAACTGAATATATCTATAAGATAGAACTTAGTAGTGAAAAATAAAACTTGGTGACAAAGGTCTTGAAAGTTGAAACACTAGGAAAACAGGAGAAGGGAGCAACTGTACAAATTAAATTCCATAACTTAACAATCCGATTGAAATACGATGCTTGAAATAAAGTAGCTTTACAAAAATTAGGCTTTAGTATAATACTGGGGTTGCATGTGATGAATATTTTCGAGGACGTGCCTCTTCTATGTTGACGCGTTGAAATTTTTTTTTTTAACTCTCAGCAGGTGCTTTGTCGCAGCACGTGGAATAATTATTTAAGCAAACTTATTAGTCGAGCTTATCTCCTAAAAAGAACACACGGAATTTTCTCAAAAGGGACTCATACCTGAAACCACCATGTAAGGAGCCTGTAATTCCTATTCTTCCAATATCATTTGTTGTGATAAATGTAATAATGTAACTGATTCTGTATGTCATAATGACTGATAATTTTATTACTTGTCTGACCAAGTAGCGTGACCAGTAGCGTGACTTAGATTATATAGTGATTCGCCGAAATGTTTATCGATTTTTCTCGGAAATCAAACGAATATAAAATTTTTATTTCGTTTGGTGGCCATTGTTCACGTAGGGAGTCTTGAAATCTTGAATTCTTCCCGAGTCACAAGCTGGGAAGCAGTGACCAAACACATAACAGAAGGAAGGAATTTAAAGGACATATATGATTACAACGCCACCTGGTTTTGAGGTTAGTCTAATAATTTTACAGGCGGTTACATATTCTCTTGGTGTCAAACGAATAGCGGTACTTTTTACATCTGAAAAGTAAAGTAAAGGTATTAAAATTATGTCAGAAGTAATTTCGAACAACACTAAATCAGGTAAAGTTCAGTCTTGGTCTGTCTGATTATCAAAACATCCAAGAAATACGTACGACTGACCTCGAATAACAACATGTGGCGGCGGAGGATAGTCTTCGCAGTCTGAGTAAAGGTAAAGTGACAATAAAATAAATAAAATCTAGCAAATTATTTTCTTGTGTTTCGGAGTATTCTGAAGACTCCCCGTTTCAAATATATGTATCATTACAGCACAAGATGAGTGATATAGCACCATATAGCTTGCTTTGGAAGGATTTTTGTTTCGATAGGACATTCATTTTCAATTCACTGAGGCTCAGTTCAGACGTTGTGCTTCTGCCGTGTCGAACTTAATTGCAATTTGGTTCGATTGAAGCACGGCAAAGAAACAACTCTGATTCAGACGTCGTGCCAGAGTCGAACCAAATTCAGCATTTACTAATGCCTCGTAACAATTCTCCTCCTAACTCCAAGTGGGAACGCAATCTCGCCAAAATGCATTAATATAATTTATGAATTTTGTTTAACGTGGCAAAAGCACGACGTCTGAATCAGTGCCGTGCCAGAGTCGTGTAGCACGGTAGAGCTTGTCGAACTTAATTGCTTGCCGAACTTAATGCAAAAGTTTGATTCAGACGCCGTGCTTCTGCCGTGCTTTTGTCGAACTTAATTCCTGAATTTAGTTCGGCACGGCAAAAGGACGACGTCTGAACTGGGCCTGAGTTTCTGTGTAATTCGACTTGTGAAATATGTATATCTTCCGAATGAAAAACGATAAATGGCTGATAAACACGATATCGAAAACCAATGAACGGAGAGTTTGAACTCGCCTACAATGCAAGTTTTAAATACAGACTGAGGAGGAAATACAAGGGAATGCAGACATTCACGATATGGGCCGACCATCACACAATTAAAATTGCGTGACGAATGTTTCGGGTCTGTCAACAAGTTTAGGATTTCGGTTCAATGATAACAAGTGTTCGTGACTTATTGGTGATATTTTGCATCAGAAACCATACGGTCAGACTTACGGTCAGTGTACATGTAAGCAAGTATCACCTGCATTCCAGCAAGTTGTTAGTTGCCATCAAGATGTATGTGTGATGTTGCAAGACTTTACACAGGTAACAACAGCTCTTGGCTGTGTAATATAGTGTACTGAAATGTTGAATTTAAATATGTACAAATTGTAATAAAAGACATCCAATTAATCATTTTAAGGAGGAGAAATACAGTTTCAAGGTTGTACATTTAAAGTATCAATATTGCCATCTAATGGACTCACCTGAGATATTTTTCTCTGTCTAACTTTTCAAGAAAATCTTTCTGAATATAGAATGAACACACAAAACTTCCCCCATAAAAGAAATTTTGATCACCTTCCCATTTTGTCATGCATTGGGACATCTTTAATTTTTGACATATTTGCCAAGAAATGTAAGAAGTAACATTTGCCATTTAAGGTGTTCTTCCAAATATGGCTGAGACCATAAAATGGTGAATGGGTCTGCACTGAAGCAAACATGAATCATTGGCTAAATGGCTGATTATAATTAGAAGTCAAAAAGGCAAAATTTTCTTTTAATACTGGACAGAATTTTTTTACTTTATTGCATGGATTACAGCCAAAAAGAAAAACAACAACAGAAGAGATTTTGCTTCCTTCCACCTCTCCAAAGCCACTTCTTCACCTCGTCTCACTCCTGCCATTTTTCTCACGCCACACACGTTTTGTACCGATATGAGTTACTTTTATATGCCTTACACCTTTTAGCTTGTTTTGCAATGTCCAAGATAGCTAAGACAGTATTTTGAAACGTCATCGCTTCTGCATGCACTGCGTGCCATTTATTTTATTAGGGTCGTCAAAAGGAAATTTTACGATATTTGCAGAAATTCTCGCGCATTCATTGGCTAATTTTCATTGTCAATAAGCGGACAGACATATGAATTTATAATTTATGCGATGTGTCAACGAGCGAGTGCGAACAATTTGACAATTTGCTATCGTAAAAAACAAATTGAATTCTTTAAGACATGCGATAAATTGTGATGTATTCGTATCTACTCTCATTCAGGATGGCCGACGAGGGTGAGCATTACCATTCCTCGTCTGATGATAATTCTGATGCCTCGTTGTTTGACACAGATGACGACGACGACGTCACAGACTATGGTAGGTAACTTCACCACCTTCTTGGCTTCTCGTGAAGAATTTGTACACGTGTGCAACAAATATATTCGTCAGTTGAATTGTAGATGTATTCAAAGAGGAAGATTGTCCACTTCCGGATCCATTGCAAGCACTGCTGACAAGGCGAACGCAACCTCGATCCCAGGCTCTCTCTCCTTCCCCTCCCTTGAAGAAAAGCAGAGAACCTGGGATCAAGGCTGAAGCGAACACTACAGAGTAATAAATTTGACGTGAAATAATGTGAACGCCATAGAACGCACAGCTATGCTATAATGTATGCATGTTACTCACGTAGCAAGTTACTATGTACGTTAACTTTGAATTCTTAACGCAGCTGATCAGGCAGATGACGTCTTGCTTGACGATGACGGAGAGGAGACAAACGACGAGGAAGAATTCCCAGAGGAGTCTGACACTGAACTCTCGGATGAGGGTATGTCGAGGAGGATCAGTGTTTCATCAATATTATCTATCTAGAGTTCTAGAACAAAAAAGTAGCAATATAGGTAGCTCTTTAACTTCAAGACGGAAATATTGCAGTTGGTTATTCTTCGCTGCAGCATATTAATTTTAAGAGCTGTCTCAGTATGCACGAGAATTATAGGTCAAATCATAGTCCCTTGTTGTAAATCAGCGCGAAAGCTTGTTTTACCGTACGCTGTCATACCTTTGGAGTTTAAGATGAATTAATTTAAGACGTAATGAAACTTACGTTACTTTTGTAAAACACCAGTAATCAGTATCTCGAACAGTCAGTTCACGCATTGGTTGAAAATGGTCAGCATGGATAATCTTTTAACACGCAACATGTAAAAACCGGTTGCAGAACCAGAGGAGTCGTATAAAGATGACGGTGAAAACGAGGAAAATCCTGTTAGACTGCGGCGGTTTAATGCCTCCAAGTACGTCTGCGAACATTTCTACGGGCAAAACGTGACGCCAAGGTTGGTATGATTTTCTTTACATATCCCAAAAGATGTCATGCAGGATCAAATAAAGTTGCTTGGGTTGTCCACGCGAGTAAAATTCGCGTCACATGATTGGCCCTTTCTAGACCGTCCTGGGATCCCTGAAGGGATCTAAAAATGACTCGAGAGGGATTATCGTAAGAATAAGGCCCATATGAGGGAATAACTTTCTCACCCTTCATGCTGTCATGTGTATTTAATTCGTTACTTATTGTCGTAAGGATGCAGGTGCCTCCGGCTGTAAATGTTAATATTTTTTAGGTCTTTGAATTATTTTCAATTGAATTGAACATTTCGTGTAACCCTACAGGCATTTAAACATCCTGACAGACTTTGTGGATGCAGAGATTTTCATGATTGATGGCGACTCGTTGCTTTTTGAACTTCTTGGGGAGGAGAGCCTGGACTGGAGTCATGGTGGACAGTTTCTGCACCTCACCTATCTATTGGAGCGATTTTTACAATATTTCACAGACAAAGGCTAGTAAGACCGCTTGCTCAGAAAGCTGGCGTTTGCAGTGTAAAGGTTGTATTTCTAACATGGATTATCAAATGGTGGAAGGTGAAATCTTGGATCCCGGACGGGACTAGGGCTTTATCTGGAAGCATGCTTTAAAACTATGCTCCAGCGAGAGCTAAAAAAATTCCTCAAACTTTCTTAATCATTTATCTCCTTGTCTCAGTAATCCTTCCTGCGTTCTACCAAATGAAGAACTTAGTACGAGACAGTATTCTTACAGCAACGTCATTGTTTACTTTAAATAAAGATACCATTCAAGGCTGTCGAAGAAAACTACGAGGAGCCCAAAGGTTCCTAACCTTGAAATCCTGGGTACCCAAAGTCGCCTGTTAGTCGCCTGTGACACTCCGGCTCTTCTAGAGCACAGCCCTGAAAAATTAAGCGCTTAGATTGGTTACCTGCTCTAAAATCGTCGTATGTTTTTTTTTTATATATATATTTCAAAATAGGTGGCGTTTTCCACATCGTCTTTTTCAAAGACATGGAGACCATCTGGAACACTCAACCGTCCATGCTGCTAGCTCGCCAAGCTCTTATTCTTCATCTTCAGTGCAACACACAATTTACCGTTGTTACGTCAATCGACCATTTCTGGGGCGAGCAGTGGAAAGAATACGTTCAAGACAAAATGCCTGCATTTATGCTTCTAACAGATGCGGAAAACATTCCTTGGAAAACAAAAACAGGGACAAAGGCAGACTCGGCCATAGAGTTTCTCTTCCGGAGCCTCCTGATGCATTGCCTTGGACAAGGATTAAACTGTGTGTTTATATCGGGTATCCAGATGACTGCAACCAAGGTAATGGGATTCTACATGGAGTCCTTAGCAAAACATAAAGCTTCCATGAGAAAGGTAAGTGTCAGCATTATTGACATATTTCAAGTATTGCTACCGTCCTCCTCCCACCCATCCCATCCCGTCCCGTTCGTTCTCTGTCTACTTTGCTCAGTAAGGTTTACCATTAGAGAATATTTTCCGGATTAATCGTTTTTAGGGTAATCGGATTTGTAGGCGTTTACACTAATAGGGTAAACGGATTCCAAACTGCTTAGTCAAGAAGACAGCAGTTTTTTTTTTTTTCTCAGCGAGCATTCCGCAAAATGCTGTTCAACCAGAACGGATCTAGATGTTACAAAACAAAATGCTTGAAACGATGACCCAGAACTACTTCTAGGCGTCTTCCGTTCGTATTTTTTACAAAAAAATCCGTAGGCCTGGAATGAAAAAGCGTTAAAAGCACTTAGTAAGATTTATGAAGAAGTTTTGATTTCTCGTAACGACAAAAATGCGGAGAAAAGTCACTGGAACATGATGCCAGCCTGCAATTTACTCGTAAACTCATGTGATCACAAGCAGATAAATACCCGGATTCATTTGAATAGCACTGCAAGTTGAAATATTCGAGCTGGATTCGACAACGTTCGGATAAAACGTATTTACTTTAGGTTTTGCGTTCAAAATCTCTGGAGACGCGATCAAACCGGGACGTTCTTAATTTGAATCGACTCAACCATTCGTCTCGAATGCGGAAAACATCCTCTAATGCAAACGTACACCGAGACAACAAACTGTCGAGGAGTTCTTTATATCATGTTTTGAAGTTGCTAAGGCTTCGTCATATTTTGTGAAGAAATTTAGGGATTATTACAATTAATATAAATTTGCTCACTTTGACATAACAGTAGGTCATTCAGAACATTGCATCATTTTGCTCTCCTAGCATGGGAAGTCAGTCTGGAAGAAATGGCAATCTCTTATGAGATATTGGCGTGATCAGACATCAGGGAATAACCCCGGGGATGCGGGAACGTCTTCTCAGTCACAATGTCAGGTTCGTCTGTGACGATTGCAAAGTTTATTCATCCTTGATATGATACACGTTAATATTATATGTGATGCTTTTTAGACTGATGTCAAAGTAGAAGTTCAAACTGCCCTTCAGTCTCCACCACAAGGCGGCTGTCGTGAGCTGGTCACAGTCCTCGTCTGCTCAAACGTCCTTTGTAAAGTTCTCAGCGGACCTGACATCAGTGAGGTGCTTTGATTAAATGTCTGCTATGTTTTTGAAGCTTGATGTACGAAAAGATATCGCTAAATCCCGGGGGTTTTCGCCCGAGGTCCAAAACCGTACGTAGCGGTAGCCTTATATATACCTTTTTTGACACACAAGTTAACCTTTCATATACCTTCCCTAGGAAATGTTGCCCCTCCCATATATCTACAGCGCACCTTTACCGACCCTAAAAATCTCATGCAGAAATATTTACAACGCCAAAAGGGTCTCCGCACGTTCTCGTCAGAGATATACATGTACGCGATATTTTGAAATGCCCTTGTAAACACCTAATTGGCAGTTTTTTTTACCCTTTTCTGTACTTCAACTCATGAAAACCCTACCCTTTATATTCATCGAGACTGAAAAAGGACCCCTTTCGGACAGAGCCTCCCCGTATAGACCATTATAGTATTAGGGAGCACCCCTGGGGAGCTAAATGTGTTACTTCTCGATTTATTGTACACGATATAGGAAACGGTAGAAACGGCCGAAAACAGAATGAAGCTTTTCCTACTTCACACTGTACTGCTTAACAAGCTACCACTGAAGTACAGAGCGCAGTCTGTAAACAGCACCTTGTTGGATGAATTCTCTAAAACACAAGATGGTAAAGTTTATCCCTTCCACGAGGTCAGTGTGCGATATGATAAAATAACTAACTTTTAATTTACGTACGTAACTTAGGCAGTTGGGAAAATAAAGCCTGCATGAAAGACGAAATACAGCCTGAAGAGTTTTTAAGCCCTTGACCTCTGCGATACTGGTGCAGTGCTCTACCAACTGAGCTATCAAACCAACTGGCAGCTGGTCACGTTGTGAATTTGTAACTTACCCATAGGCAGGTAGATGGTGAAAATGCGTAAGTGAATTTAAAGAACATTTTGAACTACAGGAGAGAGATTTAAAGACATGAGAGCTCGTCCCACTTATTTGTTTTCATATATATTCAGTTACGTAGCATAACTATTTAGTTTTCGTTCCTGGGAAATAGGACTTCACTTGCTGGTAGATGCAAGAAAAATGATAAAACTTCTCGGCACCACAACAGAAGCAAGTAGGTAGCAGGACGACAGTTTGCGAAGACTTTGGAGTAAGATTACCAAAAAGCTGTTGTATAATTCATATATTGTTGGAATAAGATGTAAATTGCTTTGCGGGATCATTACGCACAATAGCACATCTCTAGCGGCCTTCTCCTCACCCATCACAGAACTAGAATCGGAAATTAAATCAAACAAACCTGAACGAGGTGCTGTCGAAATACCAGCAGCTTAGAACCTTGACGACTCTTTATATTTTCATTTGTGGTTATTCAACAGATTCACTCAAGTTTATGGGAGATTTTAAAGTCAATGGATGACATAAATGCTGGCAATTCATTAGACATGACTTCAATGGCAGATCTAATGGACGGGCGTTTTCTCCACGCTCTCATCTGCCTTTTCTTTGAGCATAGGTCCAAGGAATTGGAAGGTATGCTTTGATAAAGACTTCCGTATTTCTTTATTCTTATCACAGGGAATATACTTAACAAATAATGGATACTGGAAATTTTAAGTAACAACACGCCAATCAGAAACTCAGAAAAGAGCTGATCACTTGCAAAGTTCGATGGAATAGCTTAGTTTTCTCCAATTTTATGGTTCAGTTATGTACCAATGAACCAAAATGATCGTCTCGAGCAGTTTCGTTCTGGAAAAATCAAGTTTTTACTTTCTTTTACTGGCGATAAAGCTTTTCACCGTCACTCTTCAAACCATTGAGCCTTATAATTAATAATTAGGGAGATCTCTTTCCTTAACCAACTCTTTGTAATTCGTGTTCTGGTGAGGGCATTTGAGAAAGAAGTTAACATTGATAGAACCTGTCATTTTTGGTCTTTGTTTGCTTCTTGACCTGTACCAGGTCCCAATTTGCCAGAGAGTGTAATCAACGAAGCGGAGGCTGCCTGGAGTAAAGTGGTCGCTACTGTGAATAACGTGCATCCTGATTCCCTTCAATCTCAATTTTACCCCTTGTTTGCCGAGCGGGTGACGGAACCTTTAATGGTAGAAGGTAAGAACGTTTTCAACAGTTTCCGTTCTCGAATAGCTTTTTGCCCAGGTCGCATCGTTACTATTCTCTCTTAAGTTTGTTAGATTACTTCTGTGTTCCTTTTTGTTGCCAGGAATTCTTTGCATCAAAGCAATTGCTGTTTTCGTCTCTTGTTGAAAATCTTAAGTTTTTATCGTTCCAATTATTTACAGCAAACTGTGAGATGACAGGTGGTCCTAGTGTAACTGTAGATTAAGGGTAGAGTAATCTATGGTGGTGAAGTTTGAGAACAATAATGAACTACGTCTTCGTTTCTGTTCGTGTCAAAACTCGCATATTTTCAACGGGTATTCAGCACACTGACTATGAAGAGGTTCACAGAAAAATTGACCTTGTCACTCGATGAGCAAACAAAAAACTCTTATAGTTGTCAAACGAGCACAATAATAAAGAGACCCCTTTGTCTTTAGAGGGACGTTATGAGCCAGACCCCGCTTGTGTGAAGCTCCAGCGTCTCCTTCAGGTTCAAAACCTGCTTGTGAATGAGTATGCTGGGGACATGAGGACAAAAATTAACGCCATGGCTGGGTAAGACTAAGCAACCTATGAAAGGCAGTTCGCTGTGTTAGCGTCATCGACATTGACGACATTGAAAATAGCATCTTGTGGCAAGTTTGTCTATTTGTTTTTCCTTCAGAGACGAGGATGGAGACGAGGTATTCAACGTTGGTCGGGAATTTGATGAACGGTATCACTGGCATTCCCTGAGGCCTCTTTCTGATGATTTCGACAGAACAAAGGCAGACGAAGGTAAGGGCGTCCATGACAAGTAGGTTGTGGAGGTGGATCCTTTTTTAAAGAAATTTTTAAAGCCTGACGGCCCGAAAATTCTACAAACCCTCTTCCTACATTGAATGAAGATAGATCGTCCTTTCATTTGACCCCTCTCCTCTCTCTGTCTCTCTGTATATCCTAGCTACAAAGACCTTATCTTTACTTCACTTCGCTTCCCTTCATGCCTCTCCTGCCCTTTTGAAAACCTCTAGATTTACCGCTAGGCTGTAAAAACTCTGACAGATACTTAAAGGAGCTACGTCACTGTTTCGGATAAATTGAAAAGTTTAGCATTTTTCAAGTTCTTGGTTTGTAATCCATGTAAATCTTCTCCATCCTTAACTATCCTTGTTCCTTTTTGGACTATTGTTATCTCTTTGGTATTTTTCTTTCTTAATAAACTACTATTTTCAGGTTTACTTCGATTTAAAGGTAATTGTGTACTCGGCCAAAATATCTCAAGATACTATGAGCGAGCTCCGTTAGACATAGTATGTCTTCTTTTGTTGTAGATAAACCTCCAGATGATCCTTATCAAAGAAAATGGTATTTTAAAAGGAAGCAGCAATACACTCGCTTTTTAAGATTTTATGGCAACTCACTTGTTGGCGGCATCGACCAAGCAAAGATCATCACTGTCACGGAGACTGAGGCTAAGAAGAAAACAGGAAAAAACAAGCAAGGGAAGATGGTCAGTTTTGACAAAGAGCCCTTTATCAATACAACTTTTCCAAAGTATTTGGAACTTCCTTTCAAAATTTATATTTAAAACGTTTGCACCATCCTGTTAAAAAGATGCAACTCCTTTTAATTTTTTACAGAGCAAGAAGGCAGCTCAAATTATTGAAGAGAATAAGCAAAAAGGAATAGGTGTGTCATTCGTGTATTTAAGCTCGTATGATCTATTAAACTATCAATTTTTAGAAAATTTACAAATATCACTCATAGTGTAAATCGTTCATTAGCCTACCTTTTCCAAATTGGTTACCATACTACAGTCCATCTTAATCGTCTTCATTATAATTATTAGCTTTCCAGCATTTCATCAGTTTTAAACTTTTCGGTGTTTTCACACCTTGATCAACTATAATCGTGCGTAACAAACTTTGCCTATTGTTTTGGTTAGGATTTTAGAAGTCAATGGACCTTTTGTTTTCCGTCCTTATGGAATTTTCTACCTGCGCTCACGCTATCGCGAAATCACCCTCGGCTTAAACGAATCCAAACGGCCAATTGCCGGTGTTGATATTTTTTCCCAGTGGGGGTCTATATGGGAAAAGATGGACAAACCGACAGGGGTCTAGTCAGTAATTCTTTAATTGGAAGGAAATTTTGTGGAGTACAAATGCCTACCGACATAACCCTTTTAAGGGTGACATAGATACTAGGGACATAATTTAGTTGTCAAAGGGTATTTAGGGTAAATAGTTGTTGTAATAGTTGTTGTAAACAAGAAACTTGGTCCATAATTTTTTCAATAACCCTCCACAGAGCAAGCAAAGGAAAAAGATCAAGAAAAGTGGCATTCTATTTTCAAAAAGTTCGACAGCAACTTGAAGAATGGCAACTACGATGCCGCCTTGCAGGTGGTTGATAAATTTGAATCCGAGTGCAAATCTCCTGAATTTCGTCTCAAAGCGCTCATGAAAAAGGCACGGGGTTCCTTCGAAGCCTGGAAACATACAAGTAAGGGAGAAATAAATGTATTGAACCGAGAAATAAATAAAGCATTTTCTTTCTTTTATTTTCTTATTGCTAAACCCCTCATAGGGGTAAGCAAAAAAGAGTTGAGACGCTAAACCTTGCATATATGAAAACTAAAAGGTTTGTCCTTGTTACTCTAGGAACATGCGAACCTAACTCGAACGATATGAAGTACCCTGTCCTTCTGATGGACAGTGTGCAGAAAATTGCTCAAGGTTTCCAAAGTCTTCTCACGGACAAAGACAAAAAGAAACTTGCCGGATACATCCAAAAGCTGGGCTTCGATGACGTTGCTGCCATGTTTTACGATTTGCAACCAGAAAGTGGAAAACGGGTAAATACCAAATCGGTTAACACTAGTTTATATTGGACGTGGCTCTTAAGCACATATATCAGCAGTTTTACTTTTTGCCGTCTGCGTTTTCTTCGGACAAACTTTTTCTGTACCTGTCTTCAAATTTTTTTTTTTTTATGCCAAGATGAACAAAATTTTCATGACAAAACGTAGAATTGCTAATTAAAAGTAATGCATCCCATAATTTAGCAGAGACTGATCAATAATTATGACAGTTCTAGTACAGTAAAAGCCCGCTTATAAGAACCTAGAATTTCCGAGGTCGGGCTGAACAAGTTCTAATATTTTAGGGTAGTTTTTCACAATTCAGGCTGATTAGGTTCTTAATAGGTTCTTATTTTTCAGATCGTATATATTGCACTGTAGCTTTATGGAAAACATATTCCTAGTGAAAATAAAATGATAAAAAATGTAAATCAAAGAAAACGTAATATACACAATAACTTTTTGTCAGGAGTTCCCCACACAATTAAAATCCAGAATTAAGACCATCAAAGTTGGAGTGTTGTTTTTGTATAAGAAACTATTTTTATTTGTCAGACTGAACAGATTCTTATATTTCTGAGTATTTAAATGCCAAATTTCAACCTGTAGGTTCTTGAATCACTATAGGTTCTTATATGCAGGTTTTTGCTGTACTGTGCTTCGTCAGGGAAACTCGAGGTATTATTGAAGATACTCTGGAACCAGCCAAGTCTTTCAAGGGAGGGTCAAAGGAAAGTTTGATGTATGATTCAAATTGTAACAAAAATTCACGTGTCACCTATATTTTTAGCTAATCTTAATGGTGTGTTTTTTTGCAAAATTTCACGAATCGCGTATGTCTTTTAGTTGCTTTTCACGCGTCGGGCGTAAATTTTTGCCTTCGTCATGTTTCACTCATAAACCCTTTGCCACCCTTGTTCAAAAGTAACCCTTCGTCCAATTACGTACATTTATTTTATACGCGTCATTTGCCAATAAAGTCTCGATATTTTCAAAACCAAATCCTGTGCTCGGTGGAGGATTGATAAGAATTGGACTACTGCAAGGTACTCGAACAACAGGAGAAATACCGTATACTGCCCAAGTACTAGGTAAACCCAGATCTACAGGACATTCTACGATCCAACGATCGACGTTATGTTTGGATATTACAATGAGTATAGCTTAATAAGTGCAGTATCAAATTACAACTTTTATCGTAGGCCGTAGAGCTTTCGGTTCAAACTACAAGCGAAAGATTCCAACTGGAGCACATGGGACATTTGTTGAAACGAGACGAACGCACGGATGCTGATCCCAGAGTGGATCACTTTATTCCGGATACTTGGCAGGTATGTTATATATTTGATTACTGATGAATTCATGTATTGTGTAAGGTCAATCGAGGACAGGGGATTAAGAAACGCAAGTATTTCCTAAAAAGTAACGAGACTCGATTTAAAGGTTATTTACCTTGTAGGTACCACCTCACTAGAGGTATGCTTGACAAACATTTCTAGAGAATTTGTAGCATTNCTTTTGAGATGAAATCTGTTTTTAGAGAAAAAATTGTACATTCCTCTACTTGGAATGATGTTTTTGATAGCCATGATTATTAATTTATTTACTTCCTTATTTATTTTATTATGTTCTAATAGCTTTGACCGTGTGATGTGCGAAATACTATCCAGGCGTCTTACTGAGGAATTTGAAGACCGAGAGGCAGATATAAGAGCACGAGACGGCCAAAGAGCCTTAAAACGTGCTGAGAAAAGGCGAACAAAGGCTGAAAAGAAACTGAAAAAGACAAGAGATGAAACAGAGAAAGAAAAAGCCCGAAGGTAAAACAGTGAAACCTGTATTAAGCGGACCCCCTTGGGGCACTCACTGGTGTCCGCGTAATACAGTGTCCGCTCAAAACAGGTTCTAATATATTGTGTAATAATAGTTAATTATTAACCTTTTTGTGATACAGTGTAATACAGTGTAAGATCAAAGACTGCTCATAGCACAGTGTCCATTCAGTCAATGCATCAGTTTGGAATAATCTACTTAGCTTTAAAACGACATCGTTGAATAACATTAAAGGAGCCTGAGCTGAGCTTTTTAGAGGTGAAATGCCCTTGAAGTGTCCACT